ATTTTTCAAAATTTTCAAAAATATTTTTTTCAAAAATTGCCTCCAGTAAATTTTAATGTGACAGATGAAGGAATTCAAGAACAGGCCCATTTTTCTGTCAGCATTTGTGAGAGGATAGTCTTATTAATTGTTAAAATTTTCTTTCACCTTTGAATGTTCTGTAGCTGAGAATAGGAAATCTTTATCATTTGGGTTACCTTTTATTTGAATGTAGTGTAATTCTATTCTTAAAGTGAAGGAAAAAGAGGAATACTATTAGCAATCCTATTAAAAAAAATATTTTCGTATTTGTTTGTACCAAATAATCTTTCTTTAAAATTATTTTTGTATATTTAATCTCCCTCTTTTTCCAAGCTGTTTTATAATCAGAAATAATATTAATTTTTTTTTTTAATCCGGTTTTAAATATCGTCTTTACTATAAATTACATTTATAATTAAAAACAGATGATTTCTTTTCAAGACATTCATTTTCATACATGCATATTGAATACTTTCTAATTTCACGAATGTACTTGTAACTTGACAAAAGTAGGGAGCTGATGCCTATAATCATGGTGTCTTATAATTCAATGTCTTCAGCTAAGATTTTAGTAATAAAAATGAATACAATAATGTTTAAATTTTGAAAATACAGCAGGTTTTTCTATGAGTTGATATTCAAATTTTGGCCTTATATTTAGGGCCAGCAATATAATTATTTTTTGTAAAGAGTATTTATTATTGTACTGTGTGTAATCAAATTTCCATGTTATGCTACAAACAAGTCTAGATTTTATGACCGCTTTCTAAGTCCATACTATCATTCACTTGAACAATAGTGTTTTCTGAAAAAGCTTAGTTTTCTCTCTCTCTCTCACACACTCCAGTGAATAATTACTAAAAAGTAGAATTTAAAAAAACTTCTCGTTAGCATTTCCTCGTTAAGCGATATTTATACTTGTTCAATTTTCTTTGTTTTATAGATTTTTATCTCCCAAATTCCTGGAGGTTTCGTCATCTTCTTCATAAATTGCAATGATGTACCATATTGTCCACAGTTACAATTACACTTTTTTATTTTTTATTAGCTTTATTTGATACTACCACCCTATAGCGAATCTTGCGTTGCTATTATTGTTTGTATAAAATGAAATACATAATCTAAAAATCACTGATTATTAAAAAAGACGGCAATTTGAATGTGATATAAATTATTTATGTATACCACTCTTCGTTAATCTGATTACTTCAAGTGGCAGGCTTTGTTTCAAAAGACCTAATCTCGCTAATGTCGTAGTATCCACCTCTACTACTACTACTATGCATGACTTAAATTTACTCCCACATTCAGTGCGGTTGGCACACACACTGACATACATTCTTGATTAGCAGGCTGGAAACCCCCTTTAGAAAACTGATATAAGCTGCTCTGTCTATCAGCAGGCTGCATATTTCCTCTAGGAGGCGGGAGAGAGGGTTGGAAGTGGCTGAACTTCAGAGGTTATAGACCAGTTGGCGAGTGAGAGAGAGAGAAAGAAAAATCTCTGCAAGGTGAAGGACGTTTCTTTTTCTCTTCCCCTCTCCTTATGCGTTACTCGCTGCTGCTGAGTAAGGCAACCGGAGTGCGTGCGGGAGTGTGCGATGTTTGTTTTGAATAATGATAATCTATTTCTGCTTACAATTGCTCCCATGTTGCGTTTTTTTCCTGCCTCTCCCATTCCTCTAATCGTCAATTCGATCCACCCTGACTGAAAAAATGCGAAAAGGAGAAATTATATAGCTGTAGTCCTCTCTTTTTTTTTTTTTTTTTTTTTTATTTACTTTACTACTCGCTCTGTCTAGAACTCCACCCGACCCTTTCACGAATTTCCTCCCCCTCTTATTATCTCGTGCTTTTTGCTTGCTCGCTGCTATATGTCAGTTGAATCGTTGATCAGCTGACTACTGCTGCTACATTCTTGCTCAAATCTGAAAAGACTGTGTGCACCATTCTTGGCAACTGCCACTTGCTTGCTGAGACTTCAAAGTTGGCCTGCAAGCTTCACTGTGTCTCCTTACTTCCTGTCTGAAAGGATACTAGTTAACTATTGAGTTTGCCTGCGCCTTGTTTTGCTTGGTACAGGTCAGAATGGAGATCCAGGTCATGAGTACTTAGCCTGCTCACTGTAGACTGACAGTCTGAAGGTGAAGGACGCTCTATTTATAAGCAGCTTTGACACCAGCTCTTCTTATTGGCCTAATCTTCCCCAGTAATTCTTGTTGTGTCTGTTGATCAATAATATGTTCTACAATGAATGGGAACATTATTATTTCCAGCACATCGGACACATTGATTTCATCCTTTCCAATCTTGTGATTTTGTTGTCCAAATTTAGAAGACAAATTCCAGTTTAATTTAGGTACATCATGCCGAGAGAAAGAAACACACATAAAGTGTTGTTTTTTTTTTCCTATTTATTTTTTTGATAAAAAATGTACGTGAGTGGTGTGTGTTAAATTTGCATAAATGTGAATTTCTCAAACTTTTGCCTCCAGCCATAGATACAATATGGAATGTTTGTGAGAGTGATCTAGTTTTTAGCCTGACACTGATAAAGGACGGGTAGTATACCTTTTTTTATCTTTCTTTAAGGAAATGCAAATACGAAATCGACTTTAAATTGTAATCAAGAATAAAGGAAGGACAAACTCTATACTACAGCTTGCTACCTGGAACTTCGCCTGAAAAGTTAACCCGTTTAGTGGTAATACGATCGTGGCATTTTTTTTTTTTTTAACCAAGGGTCACTGACTACTACAAATTGATTTTTTTTTTTTTTTTTTTTTTTTTTTTTGCAAGAGTTACACGTACACTTATGTTACTCCTACGACGAGCCTGACAACTCCGAGCTTTGCTACTAAATTCAGCCATACATGTTGTGCTACTATTTTAGGGCACTAGCTTTGCCTTTCACCGACTCTCTTTTTTTTTTCTTTTTTTTTTTTTCTTTTTTTTTTCCTTTAGCACGACTGTCGTCGCTTGCTGCTGCTTTTGTTAATCAGAGTAGCACTGGCATTTAAAAAGCCATTCTTTTTTAGAATTTCTTCCTTTTTTCCCCCTCTCTCCCACTCTTGACTTGGGGGTGATAGGACGGTTAAGTTTTAATATTTGTTGGGTGGAAAGCCCGTGTCAAAACAAGGTCAGTGATGACTTCTGCAATATGTGACCTACTTTTGACATTTAACTCTTTCTTAGTCAAGAGGCGTGGGGGATTCAGTGTTGTGCTTAGAGTGGGAGGTAAGGAATGGGGGTTGAAAAGTGAGAGGGCGTCAGCCTGGGTGTGTTTCCACCTCAGTTATCTTTGTTATATTCTCCTTTCCATTTGTTGTTGTTAACTCTCTCTTTCCACTCACTTAAGGTGGGGGACTTTGTTACAGGAAACATCTGTAAATGATTGTTCATATTTGTTGTGGGTTGGTGTCTTCGTTTGTTTATTCATTTCTTTCTCTTTGCTTTTTGGGTCGAAATTGAATTTCTCGTGTTTATTTTACTTGTCAATTCTACTTAAAATGATTTCTTTTAACTGGGTACCTCCAAAGATTTTCTTAAAAAGAGCATAGAAAAAAAAGTGGGGTCCCAAGCTTGAAAACAAATTTATCGTCTAAAAAGGTTTTATTTATTATTAAGAAAGACAAAAGTATTCTTTGCCTATTTTAATTTTTATAATGATTTCTAGCACGTTCGAAATTTTTTGCAATTTTATTTTTTTTAATTAAATAGTAAAAGCAGGTTCTTTGGAGAATTTAAATCACCATCGGTAACAGTTAACTTATCAATAATTCATGTACTTTTCGTCAAGTAGTGAACTCTGAAAATATTGAAAATTAAGCGTCAAATTTTCAGCAAGCCATTTTACTTTTTTATATTAAAGTTGCCTTCATTTCACTTCGCTAAACTTGAAGTAATAAGTTTTATGATGAGTATTATTAGACATCTTGCTTTCTGTTTTTATAAGATGAAATTAAAATGCTACACTTGGTTAAAATTTAATTAACCATAACTCGTTAATATTAATTGCATAAACAATAGGAAACTAGACTAAGGATTCATTTTCCATTGTTCTTTCTCTAGTTGACTTATTTCTAATAAGTTGTCAAACTCCCATCAACCAACAGTAACCAAGATAATGCTTTTTACTCCTTAGTCTTCAGAATAGTTTCATCACTTTTTTGTTGTGCTTTTTTCATTGCTGTTACTACATAAATCTGATATTGTGAAGTTCCATCCAAACTGAATGTTCTTCACTTCCCTCCTGATCTCTTCAGAATATGGTCGATCATAGTTCTCCAAAGCTTCCTGTTTTTGTTGTAATTCTTGACTCGTTATCACACATCTTTGTCTTTGTGATAATTGGTTTTCCATCCACTTAAGTAAATGACTTTCGGTTTTTCACTTCTTTACCTTCAGTGTACTCTGAGTGTTAAATTCTCCAACCCTTCTTTCTTCATTGTGTGACCCAAACATTTCAGATGGTTAGCAAAAGTTAATAATTTATCTTTTACTTAAAACTTCTTTTCTTAACTTGAAAAGGGCATTTTGAAAATGTTTAAAAGTCTTTTTATGCTTTTAAAAATCATTTCAGCCTTCTTTCAAGAAAAAAATATTCCACTGAATTTTTTTTTTTTTTTTTTTTTTTTAGGCTTGAAACTCTCTTGAAAAAAATGGTTGCCATGATCAATTATCTGCCAATTTTGCTGACTAAAAAAAAAAAAAGAATTTAATGAAAATTTCGGACGTGCTAGGAACGATTAAAAACTGTAAAAAAAAAAATACCCCCAAAATACTTTGATCTTTCCTCTTAATAATAAAATAAACATTTAGACGATAAAATTTTGTTTTGGCGTCTTTCATCATGCTGTGCTCTTTTTTAGTGATCTCGTGGAGGTACCTAAAATAGCACCATTGTTCATTACATTCATACATTGGTTTGTATATTATTAATAATAATAATAATAATATTTCTTCCTTTCTCTTTGCAGGGGCCCTGCTGGCTCACCACACAGTGCTGGAGCTTCTTATAAACGCTCTCGGACATCTAGTCCTTCTATGTCTCGCTCTTCTTATTCTTACCATCAAGAACCCAACACTCGCTATGGAATTCCTCCTGCATCAGGATACGCTATTTACCGGGATCCTTATCCGGTTTGTATTCTAAGTTATTATAAAATAATTATTATGAAGAAGTCAAAAAAAAATAGTATGAGAGGGAGAATAGAAAAAAAAATACTTTTTTGTTTTTAATAATCCATAGGATGTCAATAAGTTGACATTCTTTGGATAAGTAAAAGGAAGAAAAAGACATTTAACATGTATCTGTATGAAGCACTTTGAATAGGATTTTTTATATATACTTTTTTTTTATTCACTTTTCAGGGAATTTTTAATGAGGTTTGTAAAGAGAGTATGCATATTTCAAACAAATATAGCTTTGAATTCATCTGTGCTAAATGGAAATTAGTTTTGAATTATTTTTTTTTAACATTGTCCATGAAATAACTGGTTAATGTATAAGTAATTAAACTGGCAGAAATGCTCCAAAATAACTCCATTAGCCTCATTGTCTACAATCAAAAATTCACAATTTATTAACATTTCTTATATCATTTTATTGCTTCACAAATGATAAAAAGTAGCTGAAAAGATTTACAAATATAAATGCTGACCAATTTATTCATATATTATCTTAAATAGCTTTTCTAATTTTCTATTTCACTTGATGTCAAAATGTAATGTTTGTTCTCTTTTAACCAATTTCATATGAATTATTATTGAAATAAAACTAGAATTTTTTTTTTTTTTTAATTTATTTAAAATCCATTCTAAAAAAAAAAACCTTAAATTCAAAAAGAAGGAATTCATACTCAACTAATTAACCATTGTAGATATTTTAAGACGAAAAATTGTTTAGCTTATTTTATTTATAACAATTCCTTTGACTGTATGTAATTAATTCTGAACTGAATTAAAAAAAAAAAAATTGCTGTGGCATTTCACATTCTTAAAAATCGACACAAGTAATAGGAACGTCACAACTTGTTATTTAAATACTATACTTTGAAAAACAGGATCTCATTCATAAGTGAAATAGATGCTGAATTATATATATATTTTCTGGCATGTTAAATTTCTCACACATGAACTGTTTACTACTTTTACTGTTTTAGCTAATTGTCTTCTTTCATTATGTCTCTATAATTTTGATATGAATTACCAGTTCAATATTTGTATTAATTGCATGGAAATGGCTGTCATATAGCCTTGTTTTGTACTCTTGATAAACACTACCTCCACTATTAAATTACAAAGGTGTAAATACCAGTATTCAGCATACTGCAGACACATGATTATGACTTATGGCCACACACTGCAAACACATGTTCATAAAGGGGAGAACCAAAAGTGGTGCTAAGAGCCTAGTAATATGCCCCTTTCAAATTAAGAATCTTGATAAAAAGTCTATCATATTTGGAAGACCACACTATTTCCCAGTAGTAAGCATACAACCTTAAAAATTTAATCCTGAAAACTCCAAATCTTTGTCTTCTCAAATCAGAAATAACTGGCTTTTAACTGCAGCCCAATTTAGGACAATAGAATTATCCTGTCCCTTTGACACTAATGTGGACTAACACCCCTAACTTCTTATCCTCTCCTCAATTGGCTGTGATATTTTAATCATATGACCTTCATGTTCATGAAATTGAGGCTGAGCCAACAAAATATCATAATTGGTCCATTTGTGGACAATTTGTTGTCCTATTGTTAAAACATGCTGTCTGGAATATCCAATAAATGGCCTATTTTGACTAAACATTTAGATTTAAGCTAATACTTGGGGTTCTATTTTTTTTTTATTTGCTTCTACAAAAAAGTTAAGTTGTCCTGATGAAATCCAAATTATTAGAAGCTTTGCTTACCATAGGAAGGAACATTATTGTGTCCAGTCTGAAATATTTTGATGTTTCTTGCTGGCTAAATAATTGATATTATTTGATCCATGAAATATAAATTGTCTTAGCAAGTTTCTAACTGACATTGTGAGGTCATTTTTGTAGACACATAGCTTCCATAATGCTCATTAATCAACTTTTGCGATTTGAAATAGATTGAAACTAAATGAAAGAGGCCATTTAGAAATATGATATCAGACAACCTTGATGTCAATGTTTGGGCCCAAGTTTTGACAAATTAGAGCCATTTTTTTTCTATAGGGTGCTGGAATACATGCTGAATTTTTGTTTACGTGTAATCAAAAAACTTAATTATTTGGATCTTGCATAGCTCTCTTTAATTGTGCCCATTTATAGTTTTGATCCAAGTTCATGGCAAAAATACATTTTCAGACCATTTCCAGTAACCTCAGCAACTATTGTTCTTTCATTTTTAAATAGGTCTAAAGAAATATTTGTCTACTTCAGTTTACATGTTAATTCTTCAACCAGTGTAATGTCAGCTGAAACAGACTTGTTGGTTTTTAGTAGTAAAAAGTAAAATGAACAATAAAATTTCTAAATATCTGAATTGAGATTCTATTCATTTTTTTTTTTTTTTTTTTTTTTTTACATACAATTACTTATCTCACCTTTTAACAAAATGACCTCCCATCATATTGTATGTCTATCTGATCTCCAATTTCAAAATTACATGTAAACTGATACATTTGTTTCAGTTTGACTACATGTTTCTTTATTTGAATGAATTCCCAGCTAGTACTGCTTAAATCTTATGCTATTAAGCAGATGCTTGTAAAATTGCATTCCCCCTGAAGTTATATATATATATATATATATATATATATATATATATATATATACACACACACACACATGAGAGAATAATTTCTGTTGCTTCATCCATTACATAGTCACCTTTAAATGTTTCTCTACCTAGTCGGCTTCTAGTCAAGAACTCTTTTCATTATCTTTTTCATTATTGTTCACAAAATCTTGGAGTTTAGGGTCAAATCATTTTCATTGTTGTTTAGTTTTGAAACCTTAAGGGCAACCATTTTTTTTTTAATTGTACTATTTGAATGCTATTACTCTTTGTATAAATGAGAGACTTTTTATTAAAAGTGAGATTATGTGAGATAATTACAAAGCATAGATTTCAGGATATGCCCTAACAATAAGGCTACATTATAAATGAGTGGTTATAAATTATCTATAGCAGTTTATTTTGCATAATTTATAGGGTAGGTACAATTAATGGTCGAAACTTTGCTATCATAAAACTGAGTTGATCTTCAGCCCACATAACCCACACATTTGAAATTTAACAATGGTTCAGAAAGATTGGATGAAAGCAGAAATGGATTTTATTTTGACAGCAAACATACCACCTTCATTAACACTTAGAATTTTATTTTAACAAAAAAAAAAAAAATTCTGTATTCTACTACATCAATTTTAAAAAATAATTTAATTTTTCTCTCACCATTTAAGAAGTTTTTTTTTTTTTTTTTTTTTTTGGACATGATGAAAAATGTCTTATTTTATTTATATACACATATACAGAGTATGATAGATAAATTATCATCTAAATTATGTAAAAATGAAAATAACACTAACATCTCATTTTGCCAACATTATACAAAAATATCTTGAAATAGTAAAGTGTAAATTTATTCAATAAAATTGCCATTGGCTTCAACCACGGCCTCTAGATGACTTCAAAATTTCCTGCAACTCTGCTAGACGGTCTTGTTTAAGTTGGCAAATGCTGTCATAATCCTTGCCTTCAGTTCATCTTTGGTGTTACAAGGAGTTTTATTGCTCTCTCTCTCTCTCAACTAGCCACCCACTTGACCTGATGACTTGATGTAGACCTCTGTGTTGAGTCTGAGGCCCTGTGGGAAAATGAATGAAGTCATAACATCACTATCACTAGTGATTGCACCAAACACCTTTGTAATCACCATTAGATTTATCCAACTCTTTCTGAATCCTCTGCACAATCCTCAGATTGACATCCAAACACTCTGAGAGATTTGTATTTGAGGCTAATGTGCAAATGCCATTTTCATTATATCAAGCATGCTGTTTCCAAATTTCTGGCAGAGTGAATTGCATCATAGTTTTCTCACACACAGTGCCCAAGTGACCCTACTATACTGTGCAGTCAACAAACAGAAATAATACACAAAATTAAAAATATAAAATTGCGACAAATTACCCATCGCACCCTGTATAAATCTACTTGTACAAGGGTAGGGAGGAATGCTGAAAATTACTTGGTCTGACCCACTTTTCAAAATCTGACCAAAGATCAGATTCTTTGGTAGGTTGGTTGGGTTTCTTGGTCAGGCAGAGAACATTTCTGAGCCTCTTTTGTGTAAATTTAAACTAGTCATTTATGTTTTTTCTGGGATAATTGTTTTGTAAATAGCTTACTTCCTTTTCCATGTCTATATAATTTGTCTAGATAAAAAGTTTCAAATTCTTGAGATTACTCTGTTTTTCTCTTTTTTTTTTTTTTTTTTCTTTCTTTTTGGTTTTGCTTACAACTCTTAATTGAGAAAATGAATTAACTTATTTTGGTTCACAAAGCCATTGGCATATTACAATTGAAATGAGATTTTAAGGCATAAATGTAAAAATATTAATGGCTGAATAATTGTTAAGGTTATTTGAAATTTCTTGCTTGAAAATATCTGTTAGTAAATTGTTTTCAACTTTGATGTCAGTAAAAATGAAAATAACAAAATAAAGACAACTTATTCACTTAAGCTTTTATCTTTATAGTATTGTTTAAAAAATTTTCTTGTCTATTAGGTCTTCTTTCTGAAGATAAGAGTTATGGGGAAACCTATTAACTCAGTATTTAAATATTGGCAATTTTTAATTTAAATATAAAAGGGTCTGAAAAAGTTTCATGAGCAAGCTTGATATAATGTAAATTGATCTTGTAATTTTTATGTTTTTAGTGTTATAGCTGCATCTTTCTGTATTTCAAGTAAAAATTACAAGTAACTTTACTGTATATTACAGCATAGGCTTTATAAATGTACATAAAAATAAGATTAGTAATTCTCAGTAGTTGTTAAAAGAATTAGTAATTTTAGTTGAAAAATTGTAGCATCACTAAAAAAGAAATTAACTACTTTTCTATTGGAATTTGTTCCAAAAGTATTTAGATTACTT